GCGACGAGAATCGGCGCTTGCGGGGCGCGAGCGTCATTTGGAGACAGCCCCTGCCCAACCCCAGGGACAACCCCAGGAACGAAAGGCACGCATCAGTGCCTTGGAAGCGCGGCTTGCAGCTTGGGGTGCGGCGACGCGCCCGGACAGCGAGGAGTTCCCTCTTCCAGGAGAGGGCCGCCAGATGCACCCGCGCACGGGTCCGAAGATGGCGCAACGACACCGTCCCACCACGAGCGTTTGATGGCCAGGGGCGCGGCTGCACCCACAATTCCCCAACCCATTTTCACGGGAGAGCGACGGCGGGTCAATACTCATGCGTCATTGGGCAATGTGGGCGACCACGTTTCCCTCACCCCGTGACTTCGCCTTCTCGATCTCCGGCTTCAGAAGAAGTTTCCGGTTCGGATGAAGAGGATCCGGGTTTCCTTGAATTTGGCTTCAACACTTGTTCCCGCGAATTTGGAATGAAGGCATATTTGAAATCCGTAGCGCTTACGATTACTGGCACCGAGGGGATGCTCACGCCCAAATTGCCTTTGACATTCTGGTTTCGTGGATGTGCGCATTGCAGTTGTATCGGGAGCCCAACAAGCAGTTCATGGACTTGGGCAGGATTGTACTGCAGGTCTTTTGGATGCAGATCATGATTAAATCCGACCCCAGCATCCCGATCCAAAAACTGCGTGCCCGCCTTCATACGGCTTTTTATGAGGATGACACCTTCGCGAGGGCGGCTCAGCCTCTCATGGATCGAATGGGAACTCGATCGCTGTTGCTGCGATGCCGACTGTGCCACAATTATGGGCACGACGCGTCTAATTGCAACGTGCGCCCCAAAAGGGTTTCACCGAACTACAAACGAACGTCAAAAAACGGCAAAGGGGCTGCCCGCCGCTCATGAAGGCGGACGACGGCGGCCACACCCATTCCACCACCTCCCACCAATCCCCACAGAAGACGTCGCACCGCACCGCTGACGCTTCATCCGATCATTTGAATCGCCCCACGCAATCGTTAAGAAGCGCAAAGGAGCTTATACGCCAACGACGCTCGACTGTGGTACCGCGAATCACCGATATCTTCGCTCTGTGCCAGCCACATGAGGAGGTCGAACGAGTTGGCTTGAGAAATGCGGGCGCCGTCAAAGTAGGAGCTGAGAATGTCACTAGCGGGGCAATTCACAAGTTCTTGCCGCACGCACGCGCAGCCGATCAACGAGGAGAGCTGCGCGGCCATTTTGACGGCAATATGAGATGTGGCGCCATCGATCCGACCGCAGCACGCCAGGATGCTGGCGGTCCATGTTGCAAATGTATCGAACCCCGCTGGAAATGGCGATTCTGGTGTTACCAAAAATTGCGGCGCGATCGGAAACGAAGCAGGCGCGCCCCCTTGACAACGGAAAAGATGAACCAAGTTATCCGCAGCCGGACCGATTGAAAGGAACGTGTTGTTTTCAACTTGTTTGGGTAATGGCGAGTCGTTGGTCCGACATTGCGGCCTTGACTCCCAAAAAATTTCACACTGGATCCGGACGGGACCATAATTCTGGATTTGTCCGTGGTGCCAAGGACGGCGAGGGTGGATCCCCACCGCGCCTCGCGGTTCGTCAGGATACGACGGCGGGATGCGTTCAACACTATAAAGTTATGCAGGACACTTCAACGCAACGAAAAGCTCACGAATCTTACGACTGCCCACGTGGAGCGAGCTCTGGCTTCTTGGAATGCCACGGCGCATTCCATAAAACGGGGTGCGCCGCTGAAATCGTGGAGTCACACAATTTGGACCCACGCGTGATCTTGCGGATGGCGGTGCACGTTGACCCGTTTGGCCTTCCCCAAGGCACAGTTCGGTATTTGGGGAATTGCAACACAGTGCTGACCCAGGTGTCGTCGCTGGTTGCATTGGTGTGAAGGGAGAAACTGCGGGAGGGCCGGAACCGTGGTTGAGAGAAGAGAGGCGTTTTTCTATGATCTTCATCGTGCCGCCGCGGCTTAAAGACGCGCGACAAGGACGCGACTGGCCACTCCACAAGAGGAACGAACCATCCCGCCACAGCAAGTCAACGTTTCCGCATTGAATTTGGAGTGCGTCAGGGGACCGTTGAGCCTGGCCACCTTGGAGAGACTCATGCAAGTTTGCGGACTCGTCGGGCGGTCCCCTTTTCCTTCGTCTTCTTTTACACCAGGCGAAAGCCCACGAAGGATTCCAGCGGCTGACGCGCGATTGTTGAAGGAAGCATGAATAATCGAGGACGCTTCGTCCACAACAACAGGCTGATGGATAATACCCTTTTTCGGTTGTGGAGGAGAAAAACGCCGGTTTGCGAAAACGATGGATTGCGTGGGCACGCGACAAGAATAGAGACGACCCTTATGAGGCTATTGTACCTTTTTTACGCATTTCCCATTACTTGCCACCTGTGATGGCTGAGGCCGCTTCCTGCCTGGACTCAAAGGCATTCTTTTTCCGAGTCTCCTTACCGCGGGAGACTTGTCATCTCTTTCGATGCCGCGTGGAGGACGGCACGATGGAGGAGCTCACGCGGCTTCCTATGGGATACAAGGCCAGCCCAGAAATTCTCCAGATTGTTATTACCTCGGCAATTGCGGGGGTGACGACGGTGGTTCACTTCCTCTGGGCCGCGCCTCCATTGGTGCGTATCGACGTTTGGATCGGTAATATACGCATTGCAGGGTCGAGAAGCGACGTGACATTGTGGGAAGCCCAAGTGCTTTGTAATGCGGACGGCCGTCGCGCCACGATGGGAGAGGATCGCGAATCGGGCGCCACGCAGTACATCTTTCTTGGGGTGCAGTTTGATCATACTCACCAGGCGGTATTTCTGAGTGACAAGTTTGTCCGGTCTGTATGCGCCATGCCGGCGCTCAATTCTTTAACCATCGCGGAAATGGAGGTTATGGCGTCACGCTTTTTGTACGCGGCTGTCATTTTGGGCACGCATTTATGTGATTACTACTTTTCCATCAAGGCAGTGCGACGGCGATTATCGGCACTTAACGGGGGGATTGTGCAGGAGAAATCCCCGGCGAATCGTTCGCCGGCAGCGGTTGGTTTGGATGAGAGATTGCGACACATGATCGAGAACAATCCTAATTGAAACCTCAAGCCCACGGAAAAGGCATCGGCCGCCCTCATCACGGATGCGTCGCTCCATTGTTGGGGAGCCGTTTTAATTCCAGACTTCGGCGACGTTAAAACCGCCGGAGGGAAATGGGAGAGGAAGCCTTTTCTTATCATGCAGGCCGAGGCGCGCGCGGTACACTTAGCCTTATCGGATTTTTCCGCCATCTTGCCATCCACCATGGACGTTTGGGTGGATAATACTTTGCTGCAGGGAGCGGCGAATAAAAGCAGCTCAAAGTCATACGCGTTGACGTGGAATCTGCAACGGATATATGAGTTTTTGGACTCTCGCGGAATACAGGCATCCTTTGCTTACGTACGGTCAGCAGACAACCCCGCAGACGGCATATCACGCAGTCGTGTTTTTACACTTCAGGACTTGGCGAAAGGAATGGAACTTGTGAGGGGGAGCGGCGGGGTCTTGTGGCTGTAGGAGCCCAAATTCTGTCACTTTGTAAGTAATAAATATGTATATCCCATCCGAATAGAGTGCAGCATGTCACGATTGTGGCTAACGGATAATGCAAATATATATATACACTTACTTGGTGCAAACTTTGAAGATGTGGTGGAGCCATTCTCATTCCATTTGCTTTTTTTCCTTTCGTTTTGTTTGGTTTCTATTATTGGTAACTTCAGGATTCTATCAGCGGCCCAGGTGAATATTCACTTTTTATCATCGCATGGAGTGAGGCATCGCATCCCATTGAGGTAGGACTGCAGTGAATTTTTGTCGCCGCGTCATGGATGGGTGAGGATACGCTTCTGCGTGTGGCGGGTGCTGTGGGTGCTCGCTCGGTGTGTGTTGTGCGTTGACAGCGGGGCCGTGGTCGTATCACGTTGGCCGTGGGATTGAACTTGAGGCGGTGACAGTGGGTCCCTTCTCCTCGTGCATGGTGGGTGATTGCTGGCGTTGTGTGCGTTTTTTGTGTGGAGAGCCGAATCCTCTCACCTGCGTACTGACAGCGCTGCGATGGTGCGTGAGTGTGTGGGGGCTGGTGTGGAGTTGCCGGCCAGGGTGAGGGCCTTGGCGGTGCTTTTCCCGCTTGTCGTTTGTTCCTTTTGTGCGTTGTGCTGCATCTTGCTTTTTCCCCCTTCTCATCCTCTCCTCCCGTGTTCCTGCGTGGAGTGGCCGCATGCTCGCGTGCCAAGCTGATCGTGAGTGCCTCTTGACGGCATCCACCCATTTCCTTCTCTCTGTCTGTCTGTCTTTCCCTGCTGGGTGTGAGGCGTGTAGCACCGCGGGAGGGCTGGCCCGCACACGCCGACGGCCCACCATGACGCCCGTGATGGCCGGTGCGGAGTGGCGGTGCGTGGCGCTTGGGTTTTGCGGTGCAGATACGGTGCGGTGACTGCGAGAGGGTCAGTGCTCTCCTCGCACCGTTGTCTCTGTGTGTTGCTGCTCTTTTCTGTGTGTGATGGTTTTCCGTGCTGTCGCTTCTGGATTGACTTGTGTTGTGGTTTTTGCGTGGGCGCTCTGCTCTGCTCCCCACGGACGTGTCTGACGTATTGCCGCTGTTGTTCTTTTCAAATTCTTGAATGCACACAAACACACATGAATTAGGAAGTTACGACCGAACGCTAATCGCTACTGTGAAATTCGAGGGCTTTGAAAGGACCAACAGCACACACACCGCACAAACAAACACATATTTACATGCTCTCACGTGTTGCTGCTGTCATGGCACCCAAAGCACACAACCGTCGCCGCGTGACCGGATCCAGCGGAAGGAGGAGGGGAGGAAGAGAG